GGCAAATTGAACTTGATAAATTGTGTTCTCAATCTTCGTTTGCGTTCATTCTCCTATCGAGTTACTTTTATTAGTGTAGTTTATACGATAACATTTTTGTTTTACTTAAGAGTTATTTACTCTATCAAAATTACTAATAATTAGCTATTATCTCATAATAAAAAAGTAGGTAAGTAAAATTATTTTTCTTGAATTTTCATACAACCATAAAAAAATATATTTAATAAATTTATTTTATTTTATTAGTTATGTCAGCTAAAAGAAAAATAAACGATTATTTTTCCAAACAAAGCAAACAAATTGATGAACCTCAACTAAGCCCTAAAAAAGTCCAGATTACGGAAAAAATCCCCGAATATCATGATCAGGTAAATAACATTTATTTTTATTTTTAAAATAGTGTAGTACTTAAATAGTAAGSCATGTTTATAATTTTTGCTTTACTAGATTGAAAGCATGCCGCATGTAAATGACATAGGTATATTTGTTAATCGTGATTTAACAGATGATGAAAAATATTCTGTAAGTTATTGCTTTAAGATTTTATTAAAGATTAAAATTTTTTTTTTCATTATTATTGTAATACATATTTAGGCGTTAACTAAAGTATGGGTACCACTGGCTACATATAAATTTCCCTTATGCAGCATAAATAAAAAAAGAGGTTTAAAATTCCAATTTCAATGGCTGCTTGAGTTTAATTGGCTTGCTTATTCTGAAAAAAACCAAGGTGTTTACTGTAAATATTGTGTTGTGTTTGCCAAAACTGGCGGTGTGGGGAGTCAGCCTTTACGCAAATTAGTATATGAAGCTTTTAATACGTGGAAGAAAGCTTTAGAGGTAGTAATTAAGATAATATTATAGGTAGGTAATCAATATGTATGATTATTATTAAAACTAATTCTTGATTATCATCTAGGTATTTCGGAAACACTCTACTTGTGTTTATCATGTTACTTCTGTTGTTAAATCAGATCAATTCCTTAATATTTTTACTAAAAAACAACCTTCAATTATCGAAGCAATCTGTGAAGATAGGTTTGTAAACATTACCTCTAATTGAATAATTACTATGTCTATTTTAATCAAGTTATACCTATTTCAATATTTGTTCAAAAGGAAAGTTCAAATACAAGAAAACAGAAAAAAACTTGTCCCTATAATTGAATGTGTTATATTATGTGGACGCCAAGAAATTGCCCTTAGAGGACATAATGATTCTGGAAAAATGTGTGTTAATGGTAATATTTTTGTAGGTTCTTAATAATTATATATGTATATAATAAGAATATAATTTTAAATATCGTAGATGAACTGTCTAATGGTGGAAATTTTCGTGCAATACTGAGGTATAGAGCGAAAGGAGATCAATTTTTAAAATTGTATCTAGAAAATAATCAACGATATAAATATATTGGAGCCAAAATTCAAAATGAAATAATAGCGGCATGTGGTGATATTATACAGAAAAAAATCGTTGAAAAAATAAATGCTGCAGAATGTTTTTCTATTTTGGCAGATGAGACCACAGATGTGTCAAATAAAGAACAGCTCACTTTATGTGTAAGATATATTGATGATCAAAATAATTTATGTGAAGATTTTTTGAAATATGTAAATATTGACAGTTTAACTGGGGCATCACTTTCATCAGCTATCCTAAATGGTATTTATATTACTAAACAAAAATAGTTCTTTTGTTAATATCTTATTAATATAATAATTTAWTATTTGATTTTAGGTTTAACGAGTTGTGGAGTTCAGTGTGATTTTTTGTTTGGACAAGGTTATGACGGTGCTAGTAACATGTCTGGGAAGTGTAGAGGTGTTCAAGCAATTATATGTGAAAAGTATCCTCATGCATTATATGTTCATTGTGCTGCCCACTCATTAAACCTAGCTGTTTCTACTGCCAGTAACATTAAACCAATACGAAATTGTCTTTGCATATTAGAAAAAATGTATACATTTTTTAACACTCCAAAACGTAGCAGTGTAATATTAAGTGAAATTGATGGTTGTGACTTTGAATCCAAAGTTAAATCGTTGAAGAGACTCTGTGCTACAAGGTGGGTCCAACGTTATGACGCTGTAAATGATTTTGTGGAATTGTTTCCATTTGTTGTTGCTGCATTAGAAATAATTTCTGAGTGGAATGATAGTTCAGCGACTGATGCATCTATATTATTAAAAGCCTTTGATAGCGAATTTCTTATTTCACTTCAAGTTATAAAGGTAATTTTATCAATACAATTGCATTATATCACATATATATAGATCTAATTGTTAAATTTTATTTAGAATTTATTTTCATATGGTTTATTACTGTGTAAACAACTACAATCTGAACAAATTGATTTGATGGAAGCAGTTTGCCTGGCTGAAAATACAGTTTTAGCTTTAAAAGATATAAGATCTAATACTGATGAAGAGTTTAAACAAATATTTGTAAAAGCTGAGGTAATGAGTGTCCAAATATATTTGTTTAATAGTWATACTAAATGTTTTTTGTTGGTAATACTTMGGAACTGGCAGCAATTATCAATATAAATCTATCTGTGAAAAGGATTGCAAAAAGACAAACAAACAGAGCAAATCCTTTTACAGATTCTATGAATAATGCAACATGTGAAATGGCTATTGAAGTTTATTATCGTACAACAATATTTGTACCCTACGTTGACCATTTTATTGCTCAATTAGAAGCTAGATTTTTAGCACAAAAAAATATATTCAAAGGCATGTATTTTTTATATTTTATTTATAGTTGTATAATTGAATAAAAATTGTATGGTTCATTCATTATATAAATTATGCAGGTTTTGAAGCTATTTTTTCGAAAAATCAGTGTCTTAGTGCTTGTGAAGTTGAATCMTTTCAAAATCTATTAGAATTTTATTCACCTATTATAAACAAAGATAACAGTTTAGCAGAATTAAAAATTTGGAGAATAAAATTACTTCAAAACCAAATAGTTATCAAAACAGCCTTAGATGCACTTCGAGTTTGTTGTCCTATAAWCTATACCCTAATATCAATAAACTTTTGAAAATTTTATCCACATTACCTGTATCAACTTCAACACCAGAAAGGTCATTTTCCACATTAAAACGAGTAAAAACTTACCTGAGAAATTCAATGGCTGAGGTATAATCTACAATAAATTAATCTCAAATAAAATTTAACATTTTAATATTGTTTTTCTGTTTGTTGTAGGATCGATTAAATGGTTTAAGTATGTTAGCAATACACAAAGACGTGATTGTTACACCAGATGAAGTGTTGGATGAGATGGCCAAGAAACCAAGAAAACTAGAAATTCTCTTGTAGTTAAAAATTAGTTAATGAATTGTAAATTTAAAATAATATATTAAACTTGTATTAAAATGTCTTTTCTAAGTTTTTCAGGGGGGTAATGTAAATTAAAATATAAATTCAACGGAAGGGGGTGTGGAAGGCGAAGCCCCATGGGTCTGTGACAAATCAAGATGAATATCCCCTCCCATTCAAAAAAGCTGTGCACGCCACTGTCTAGGTCACTTCAAATGGCTGTGCCCTAAGCCAGGGTGGTCCAACCCACGGCCCGCGAAGCTTTTTTTTGGCTCCTCCAACAATTTAAATTTTAAATTTTAAATCACAATACTATAATAATAAAATCGTAATAAGAAGATATACAATTTATACTATCTTGTTACAAATTTAAACTTTAAATTTTACATTTTATTGTTATACGGCGGGAGTTCCCGGGTGTCGATCATATCGCGATAAGACGTGAATGTTATTCACAATCGCACAATTGCGAGCATTAAATATTTCTCTAAACTAAATCTAAATCTAATCAGTAATCATTAACCAGTCGACCCCGTGTGTTAAAAACAATGCCAATCTTCACATAAATTAGTTGTTATAAGGCATTCCTAGCCTTATTTATTTTTTTAGTAATTTTTTGATAATTTTAAAMATGAAAACATTAAATAATAATAATAATTAATAATTTGTGCATTATATAAAATAAAATATAAATAGGTAATAATATAATTTTTTTCTTCTGGCGGCCCCCGGTGTTTTTATGAAAATGTAAATTGGCCCGCCAACTAAAAAAGRTTGGACCACCCTGCCCTAAGCGATGGTCATCTAGAATTGATAATTTAATATCACTCAATCATATATACCCAAACGTTATGAAAGTTTTAAACAGTAGTACGTTGACTGGGCATAATAAAAATGAACTAAAAGAAGCCTCAACATTCAAAAAAATATTTAGAAAGCTATGAAAAAATTATTTTAATCCTTTTAATGTACAGGGTGATTCTTTTATCAAACAACACTCAGTACTATGTTAGGTTAGTGTGTCCGTGTCAATCATAATACGAAATGCACAAGTACTACATTGCAATGTAAAACAGAAAAAAAATCAATGAAAATTACTAAAACAACTAACTGCGTGCAACAAAAAAAACCACGTCTAACCACGTACTATAGTAAAACTAGTGAGACAATATGGTTCACACTGTATGAAAAAAAGTATTCAGCCGCCGCCAAAACAAACGGCGTTAGCACTACCTATGGTTAGGATACATGCACGAGTTTCGATTGATTTTCGTCTGACATCTGATGCGCACTTAGATGAAATAAAGTATAGTTAGTTACCCCATCGATATGCCCCAGTGCTTGGAAGCCGATTCGGCAGCGTTTTCGAACAGAGATAGGCCCACCAGTGATACTGTCGGCACGATTGTCAGCGGTGTCACGTACTTGACTAGTTTGCCAATAAGACCTGGAACATTTTAATCAGGAATATTATTTAAAAGTACTTATTACTATTGGCTATTGTTACAATATTGTGACTATTAGACGTTTATTTCTTTAAAACCGATATTTGATTTTTGATTTTGACGATATTGTATATATTAATAAGTACCTATGTAATTAATGATAAATATTTTAAAATCAAATAATTTATAAATATACATTGTACAATCAAGACATTCAAAAATTATGGCTCAAGGCTAGGCTTATTAGGTATATTTATAAATACTCGATGGATTACTAAAGATGTTTGTGTTTTGACATCATTTTGAAACTGAAGCACCGAATGAAGTACGGGGAGTTAGGGGATGAAACCTAACCTTCCGAAATGTCTTTAAAAAAAAATATTGTTTGAAAAAAGAATAAAGCGATATTACACCAATGAAGAATCTATTTCTTAAAAATTTGATATTTCGATAAGTTTGACACAACTAAATTAACGTCAACCACATAGTTGTAATAAAAATCCACAAATTTATTTTATAATATCTATTTCATTTTTAGGTAATTTTTGATCAGATTCCCCAAATTATCAAACATCTTCAAACACCACGGTCGAAAAAAATAATCAACTGAGAAAGCTAAAATTCGTTACAGATCAATTTCATCTGTCACATCATACAACACAACTCCGGATGAACAAAAAAAAACCAATAGAAAAATTCTTTACACTAAGTGACAATTTACCTATTTCTTATATACAATTTATATACATACTAGAAATCTCTCAACATTCGTTCACTCACCGAAGAGATAAATATTGGTATATATCCTTTAATGGACATAGTAGATCAAATTAGGCCACTGGTTACTGATCGATCATTAAAAAATCGACTCACCAAACTGTAAAATCTCATCTTCTTCCAAGCCCAACCAAGTACCTATAATATACACAAACAACCCTATTAAAGCTCTACTCCTAAAGTCCTAACGAATATAATATACCGAATACATATATGATAAATATTACACAATGGAATATGAACGAGATCTACTCAAAATTTGAAGAACTCTTATAAGTTACTAAAAATTCAGTTTAMTAAGCACAACGAAGTCACCTAGACTCAAAATTCCGATTTTGTATTGAATCTCGTTATTTAAGACTCAATTTAGCTAGACCAAGTAATTATATGCTCTGACCCAGGATCGTCTCTGCAAATAAATATAAAGTATGTTGTGTAATGTAAAATATGAATACTCACCGGAATATCCAAGAAACACTTGAAATAAAGCCGATACAGCTATTGCCCCTGAAAGTTCTCTCATTCGCACTTTCCAAAGTTCTTCTTGATCATAAGATGTCATTTCGACGATACTTTCCATAGAGGGACACCTCCATTGTGGTAGTTTTAAAATTGCCAATGTCGGTACGAGAAATGAAATCGTTCCTCCTTGTACAATCGGAAGTCTATTGTGAAATAGAAACAACAAATTATAGGTGGTACATAGGTTTTACAATGATATGTAATTGTTTCCCTATTCATTTACTAAAAAGAAATATTAATTTTATGAGCGTTTAAATTTAAAATGTTCATGTAATTGGATATTCACCGGTTAATTAACGAATTAATCTGATATTTTATTGTAACTCAAAAACAAATAGCTATAGGCATTTAACAATTGATCAATTGTTTGATTATTATTTTCCATTCTTGATGAATTTTTCAAAAATAACTAGGCAACGGATTTATATGCCCTAAAAAACCATGAAATATTCTCGACAATATGCCCTTAGAAATTTTGATATACAGGGTGTCCCGCGAGGATTTACCCATTGCGATATCTTACAAAATAATGGAGATATCAAAATTCTGGTTTTATAATAAGATTCATAGGTATATGAACTACTATTACTTCATTTTTAAATTTATTTTAATGTTTTTGTAAAAAAATTAGGAAATATATTTTTTTATTTAATTATTTCCAAAAAAATTAAAGATGGCCATTTTGTAGTTTATTTTTCTACAAATATTGACGTTTCAACATTTTATTTTCATTAATTTCCTGATTTTTAATATTTTTTCTAGTTTTGAAGAAATAAAATATGATTATAAA